CATTCAGGACATTCAGTGTCCTTTTTTTAACAGCAGACCGTTGCTAGAAGCTGCAGCTAGACTGCAGAAGCATTAGTTTTTTGTTTTTGAGGATGGAACAACTTCACACACAGATATAGGGAGGCTAGACCTATACAATTAATTTATTTTGGTTTATAAATTAATGTCAAGACATTTATGTTATTGATTTCTGAAGCACTTTCTAAATAATAAAAAGAGAGTTCATATGTATTTACTGCATGTATGCATTGATGAAAAAGAAGCCATGTGCAGTAATATAGTAAATTGAGGATGCAACGCATTGGTATGAATCGTGATGCATCTGGATATCGAATTGAATCTAATCGTTGACAGGATAATCGTAATTGAATCGAATCGTGAGACCAGTGAAGATGCACAGCCCTAATAAGAAGGCAAGTCATTCCACAAATTGACTCTTGACAAGGCACACGTGTTCATTGAAAACCATTCCAGGTGACGACCTCATGAAGCTGAAACGAAGTAATGTAACGCATTACTAATGAAATATGGGTAATATATTACCCGTTACAATTCTCAGTAACGCAGTTACAACACATTTTAACCCGAAATGAAATGGTGTTTTGTTTTTTAAGAATGTACCAACATCGCGAGACATTCCGACACCAGAGAAAAATTGTGCGGGTAGATTAGTAAACCTGGTGTTTACCCTTCAGGCTTCGCGTCGGGATCTTCGGGGGTGCATAGGCATGCATTGCACCCCCAGTTGAATGTTATGCACCCTCTATTCAAAAAAGAGAACGGAGCGAAAAATACAAACAACAAATTGTGTCAGGTGCGCGTGACCTGCTCTGCTGCGCATGCATCGTTTCCATAGTGCTAACACATCTGTGGATAATCATGTATACGAAAATGGTTAAAGCAACCATAACTAAACGCCAGCAACACTGCATATACTGCAGACAATAGCAACAGGTCAGATGGGGACATCACGTTACCCTCTGTTGTGGACACTAGCTTACTCCCGCCTGACTCGCTGCCCTTGCCCCCGGAGCAGCAGTTTTCGTCGCCCGAAACTACGCCGCCCCTCTGCGGCCCGCAGGTGCCAGGATACCACGGCAAAACAGAGCCTGCCCAGGTATATCTAAACAAGTACCCGCCTGCACAGTGGGGTAAGGCGGTCATTTTGCAGCTCGTGGTATAAAAATAGACAATGGCTAGAATATTCATGTAAAAATAGTGCCATATTCTGCCATGCCTGTAGAAATGTTGGGTCAAAAATAATGCATATAATAGCACAGATGCCTTCACCACGAATGGCTACAAAAAGATCTCATATCCCAAGCTTATCAACAAGCTAATGTTGCAGCTGAAATGTTCTCCAGGTCACAAAGTCAACCTCACATGATGATGTGATACCAGTTTTCAAGCACAGTAAATATTCTCTTCCCAGAGTATATGATGGGACCAAGGTGATGATGGAGTACATGGTTTTAATAATACTTTTGCTTTTCAATGTTTGCCATTTCAAACCATGAGCTTGTTCAAATAATATTTGCCTTGGTTTACAATATGTTCTCATTTGTTTTATCAGTACAGTTTTGAAGCTTTCGTGCTTTTCTTTGCCATAGTCCACTTTGGACTATATGAAATATTTCAGGATTGCACTTTTAACACACTTGAAATGTTCTCACTTGCTTGGTTTCAAAACATAACAAATGCCATAATCTGTTCATTGGGGACCATAACATCAATGATATTTTTCATTGCTGTTGCCGGCCACTATTGCTCATGTAAACCTACTACTGCTGCACCCCCTGTAATCTCAGATGCACCCAAAGTCATTTTGTTTTGGAACCGGGCCTGTACATGGCCATATACTAAACAAAATACAGAGCCCATTCCGTGTTCCTGTTATTGTTTACTTCCTCTCTCCCTTCTTCTGGTGATTTATCTGACGTCCAGCGCTCCGTCTTTTAACCTCTTTTCCTTTCTCTTTCTTGATCCTCCTTAGCAACCTTCATTATAGTCCTTGACAGTGGTCTGTACTACTGTATTAACAACGTGTTAAGAATTTACAATCAGAATCCAGTATTCAACTAAGCCGTGTAATAAAAGTTGTTAGTAGCCTTAATGGCCTACACAGTTGTTATGCTATACCACATTGCCCTTCACTGGATGTATAGCTGCACTAAACTACATTTTAGCATTTAAAATACCTAGCCATTCTTTTGCGGTTATTTTGGTGAAAGTAACTCAAAAGTAATATAAAAGTAGTGTAACTCATTACATGAGTAATAAATTACATTTTGGAAGTAACTTGCCCAACACTGATTGTAGCACAGAACACATGTGTGCATTGCACTTCATGGAAAGAGGTCCTGACCCTGAAACCCGATCTACCAAGGTATCCCCAAGACACACACACACACACACAGTGTGCATAATAAATGTGTTAAATGAATTGAGCAATTCTTTAAAAGTATAATGATGCATTCTCTTTAAAATAAGTAATTACAGTTAAAAAAAATAGATGTTTTCCAAGGGCCTCTTCTTCACAGGCCTACACTTTAAATCATGAGACTTTCAAATCATAACAGACAGAGATCAGTATCACTTTCTGTTGCAAGCTAAATCCATGTAAAGGTTCTACTGGAGCCCAATTTAAATATCGTAAAGAAAGTATTGACCCAGCTCAAGCTAAATGTCAAATGTATTTAATTAATGTACAGTTGTTTTGATGTATTTTAAATTCTCCAGTCGAGCTTCCTTCGAGTTCAGTCTAAGCAACAAATCGTTTCTCATAACCAGTGTTGGGACTAACGCGTTACAAAGTAACGCGTTACAAAGTAACGCGTTACAAAGTAACGCGTTACTGTAACGCGTTAGTCCCAACACCGTTATTTTTGGCAGTAACTAGTACTCTAACGCATTCTTTTTTAAATTCAGTAACTCAGTTACCGTTACTACATGGTGCGTTACTCCGTTATTTTATGTATATAGTCTCGGCTCCCAGACGTTGGTGAGCGGCGCCAACAGCGAGGCGAACAGAGATGAGAACTGTACTTAAGTACAGTACTTGAGTAAATGTACTTAGATACTTCCTGTGTCACATGCGGAGACGCGCTGTGGGCGTGTTTGTGTTTACTAACAAGACTATCATGGCGGCGGCGGAGCTCAAGTCGAGTTTCTCCGTCTGGAGATATTCTCACTATTTCACTTTTGTCGAGCACAAAGAAAAGAACGTTTTAGTTGTTGTTGTAAGTTGTGTCTTGGCGGGTCAAAGATCCTATCTACTGCCCAAAACGGCAATTCAAATCTGTTGAAACATCTGCAGAAACAACATGCTGGGACGAAGCTAGTAGCTAAGACCACAGACCCAGACTCATCCGACGCCACTCCACCTCCACCTAAGCAACAGCGGCTGGATTTTAACCGAGGGACTGCTAGCCAGGGAAAAGTTGATAAAGCCATTGCACGGTATGTTGTAGAACACATGCAGGCTATTTCTACAGTGGAGTCACCCGCTTTCAGGGAGCTAGTAAGCATGATACCATGTCCGGGTGGCACACGGCATATGGGACGGAAAACCTTTTCCAACTACCTGGAAAAGAATATACAAAAATGGGAAAGCGAGCTAAATTAATGGGAGCCCTTTTTTTAAAGTAACTAAAAAGTTACTGTTCACAGTAACGCATTACTTTTTGGTGTAAGTAATGTAACTGAGCTACTTTTTAAATGAAGTAATTAGTAATGGTAACTAGTTACTGGTTTTCAGTAACTAGCACAACACTGCTCATAACAGGCGCCTCACATTCTCACTGCTGTCCCAAATGTTTTAACCCTGGGCAGAGGGCAGAGGACACACACACACACACACACACACACACACACACAAACACACACACACCACACCACACACACACACATCACACACACACACACACACCACACACACACAACACACACACACACACCACACACACACCACACACACACACACACACACACACACACACACACACACACACACCCACACACACACACACACACACACACACCCACACACACCACACCACACACACACACCACACGATAATGAAAACCAAAGAGTGTTTCAGATACCTACAGACTGAAAGTACGTGCAGAACCTGTGTCAGGAGGGAGAGGAGCAATCTGAACTTTCCACCAGGGGACAAGAAAAACTCAGAGGTCACCAGGACTTATGAGACTGAGTTTCATCTATGAATATAACTTGTATATCTATGAATATAACTGATATACCAGCCACCAAACAGTTTTTCCAAGTTGCAAAGAAGCCTTCTCAAAGATGCCATCAAAAAGCAAACTGTGAAGGACATGTTTACTTTGATGAACCGATGCTCTCTGACTTCATTACTTTTCTTAAAATTGTGCAGCATTTAACCAACTCTATTTCACAGAAAGATGCATAGATTTGCAAAAACTGATGACTTTATTTCAGTCTCACATCCGACCATCCGACCACCTGACCACAGGCCTGCTGGTGAGGAACTGTGTGAATACATAGAGAGCACTGAGGCATTTTCCATACAAAACTAGTCATAATTAATGGTAAAGCTCCCCCAGCTAAAATATCATAATCTTGTGGGAACCCTGCCAAATCCCTCTTCACATCCTGGGATGATAACCACCTCCCCGTCCTGTCTGTGAGAAGCCCCTCTGTTAGCAGCAGTGTCCCCGCAGCCTCATGATGCTGCTGAATGACAGGGACCGGATAAAGCCAGTCTAACGCAGGGCCTACACGGGCCAACCCGGGCACCGCAAGCAGTCAAAGTAGCTTTAAAATTAAATGTTGTTTAAATTGACGACGCAGAGAGGGATTTAAACCTCTCAAAGCCCCCTGAACACACTACAGAAGCAGTTCAGCCGGAGCCTCTCTCAGGTTAATTCATGCCGACCATGTTCTCCTCCGCGCGGCACTCAGCCGGGTAAATCCGTCCGAACCGCGGCATCGATAAAGAGGAGAAATGTTACTTTACCTGCGGGGAATGGCGGTGTGTGTGTGTGTCCTGTGCAGGCTCGGTGACCTTGGAGCGGGAAGATGCGTGTGTGTGGCGGACGCCTCTCGGTTTGAATTTCCTGAGCGAGCCGCTGCCTGACGTGTTTCTGCGGGCAGCAGAGGGCGGGCTGCCGTCCTCCCGGAGCCGCTGCGAGGATTGGCTCAGGTCTCCTCTCATCACACACACACACACACACACACACACACACACACACACACACACACACACACACACACACACACACACACACACACACACACACACACACACACACACACACACACACACACACACACACACACACACACACACACACACACACACACACACACACACACACACACACACACACACACACAGGCAGTTATCTGATAAGAGCTGCAGTGTTTTCACTCACCGCGAACAGCGTGTCTTTAATGTCAGAAAAGATTTCCAGGATCCAAAGAAATGTAATTTAAAATCACATAAAACCAGGGGAGATGAGATAACATGTAACGGGATTACGTAATCTATACAAAAAAAGGTGTATTCCCTTACAGTTACATAACAAGAGACGTAATCAGATTACTGACATTATGTAAGAAATGGAGAATACAAGCAGTAGCCTATTGCAATACACTTTTAAATATTGATCAATATATTAATGTTAGAATACTGCCTGGATTTTCTTTTTTGTTTTCTTTTAGGGTATTTTTTCTTTTTATTAAATATATGTTTTAATGCATTAAATGGAAACCTGATATACTGTATAAAACAAAACATTTTTGATCCTAAATATCTTGGTTTCTTCTTTTCTAAGTTCACATTGTTCTGTTGCTTCACATGATACACAAGTTAAAAACATCCTATTGATATTTATTTTCTCTCTAGCATTGAATTTGATATTGAGGTCATCCAAAATGTGCGAAAAGTAATCAGGTAACATGCAACAGGATACATTTTTAAAGTAAAGTAAAAATAATGTCTACAATAATGAGAAGCTGAAGTGGCAGTTGAGTCGGTAGATCTGAAGATTTTTCAGTTAATAAAGTTGAAGTGGCACATTCAGTGAGCACACTGAGGTGATGACAGAATGAGGAGTTCAGGGAGCCCTGAAAGCAGTCAGAACAGAGGAAAGATCTGTTCGACTCTCTCTCTTTATCACTTGAAGTCTTTACCCTAAATGTTCTTTGCGTGCAGAGAGCTGCCCTACAGTGGAAGACTCAATCTGGGTCATTTGTGCTCAATCTGTTGGATTAATGTGGAAGGGTCACAGGGGGGGTGGGTGGGGGTTGGGGATATGCAACATTTGAAGAAGTCATCTGAGAACAACAGAAATACAATTTGTGCTATGCTGCCACCAATGTGTAAAACATCTGAAAAACTGCCAGAATGAAGAAGGGAAGAGCTAAAGTAAAAGCGTTGGGTAATTATGGGATGAGGGATTCAAAAGCCACCCAACTGGGTTCCTCGTTTGGCGTGTCTCACTCTTGTTATTGATCACAATGTTGATTCATCAGAGGATTGGCTAAATAATCACCCAAACAGATGCTGAGTCATTTATTCAATTCCCTGTGTGAGTCATTCTGGATCTGATGCTTTAGTCTGTGTGAGCCTGGATCAAAAACACAAACTGGCATATAGCAGGAGGAAGCGTTTAGAAGACGTTCCTCTTACATTGGCAAATGTTTCAAGTTGGTTTGTTGTTTTAAGAGTTTTCAGAGAGAATACCTGAGATTCTCCTCCCTGCTGATTAAAGCATCATCTACCTTTTATGTGGGAACTGCTTGTATCTCCTTTTTTCCCATAAGGCCTTCTGTTTCCTTACAACATTCTCTGCATTATTTGGCTTATTGCAACATTATCTTATACTCTACTCTGTTTCTTCTTGCACTATTATTATTTTATTTTATTTTTTAATTTGTGGTTTTGTTTTATGTCTTATATATACTATGTTGCATTGTTGGAGGAGCTCGGGTCATAAGATTCTCATTGCCATTTCTACACTGTACCTGTGCTTATGACATTAAAGTCTTTGAATCTTTGAATCTTGTTTTTGGATCTTTTTTTGCTGGCTTTTGGCTCTACTTAGAAGTTGATTATACATTGTTTATATCTTAAATGCATTTGTAGCACAGTTGCTGAATATAACTTTGTGAAGATGCTCTCTCTTTTACTTCCTGTCAGGAGGATTTGCCAATACAGTACATTTCACTGGAGCTACCTGAAGTGTAAATACACAGTATGACCATGAATCATGGCATGTGGCCAAAAGACACTGCGATGATGTCACATTCTGCAGCTTGTCATCTGATCAATGACGTCTGTTTCCCTCCCAGAAATCGACTGAAAGGCTTCACTAAATATTGCAAATGTTCATGTGTTCATCTCTGAGTATGGAGATCCAAACAGGCTGAGACCTTGCAGTGACATCATTTCTTTGTACAGTGTTGTTGTTTTTTACATGTACAAGCTATTACTTGTCCCACAGTGCACCACTGAGCCCTGGAACAGATCTCACCATGGGCTAGATGTTGTTTCAGAGATCTCTCCACTCTGAGAAGAGTTCAAAGTAAAACAATTATAATATTCGGAAAATGTCATTGTCATTCAATCCATTATGACCCAATCAGTGAAAAAATGATCTATGAGGGGTTAACATCATAATTATTCTTTACTCATCAAAGCATGGTTTTAGTTAGAAATATGTAATATTCTACTCTGCTTTGTAGCTGTCCAGGCCCAGAAAGCTATTAGACAATTACAAAATATTACTAAATACATCAATAAATACAAATTTAGTAAAATATAATTTAGTTTAAAGCTCCCATGTCATGCTTTTCCGGTTATTACCCGTCCCCTTGTGTGTTATGAAGGTTTTTATGCATGTAAACGGTGTGCAGAGTCAAAACCCTCAAAGTACACCCTGTTGCGAGTAAAACTCTAACACAGAAAATACCTCCCCAAAACGCCTCGTTGGAGATACGTCACTGTCCATTTGATTCTTCCGGGTACCGCATGATGTCATGCGGTACCCGGAACAAAATGGACCAATCCGGAAGAGCTATGGTCACACCCAGCGGCGCTGGCCGCACCCTCTGCCAGCCTAACATTTACTGTTGAAAGCTCTGGTTCAGTTCACAATCGATCCAGTCATGCCAATGCCAAGGACCTGTTTCCTGAAATGTGAGGAGAAATCTGAGCTGTTTGTCCTACCGACGGAAGAACCACGACGAAGTCAGTGGTTGAAATGTCTTTTTTACACTGTTCCTTCAGAGGTTCGAAGAACGTTACTGTGTGCGCGGCATTTCACAGACGAAAGCTTCCAAAACATTGCCCAGTTTGAGGCCGGATATGCACAGCATTTGAAACTGAAGGACGATGCTACTCCTAGTTTGTTTGGACCGTTTGGAGCAGGGGAAGATTCGGGTACACAACCTGTAAGTTTGCATTGTTATTTGTGTATTTATCAAACAAGACTGTTTAAATGTGTAAACTGTGTCGGACTGCTAAGCCATTGACACAGTGCTAACTGTGCTAACTAAGTTGCTAGCGTTTCCATATATCAACTCTAATATCAGCAGATGGCCTTGCATACATGTATCTCATAGCAGGAGAATGTCTGCATTCACACACGAAATACTCATAGACAGTATACTCCGGGTGATTTGCCGTACGGTCAGTCGCGAAACGTAATTACATTATAGCTGGCGTAGCGTGTATGCTACCGAGCTAACCAACGGAGCTAGACATGGGTTTGCGCGGGAACATTTTTTTGTTATGCCAGCTACAATGAATGTAGCAGACTACCCGTATAAGATTGCAATTGTAAACACGTTCTTGCTAGCCTAATATGAATCACTAGCTTTTGTTCATAGTGGTTTTATTACACTAAACAAGCCCAGCTTACTGGGCTAACGACGTTGCTAGCGTTTAAATATATCAACTACAATGTCAGCAGATGGCCTTACATGTTTGTCATGGCAGGAGAATGTCTGCAGTCACACACACGGAATACTCATACAGTATACTCCGGGTGATTTACCGTACATTGTGACAGTACATGTACATACTGCATGTATAGCTAACGAGGCTAACTATACATGCTAGCGCAAAACAATGTATTCATGCCAGTTACAATGAATGACCGAACGTAGCAGACTACCCGTATAAGATTGCAATTATAAACACGTTATTGCTAGCCTAATATGAACCACTAGCTTTTGTTCATAGTAGTTTTATTACACTACATTATAGTTGCCGTTCCTCCGAGCTAGCGTTCATATCGTGTTAGCTACCAAAGTAAACAAAGCTAGGTTAGCATATTAGCTGGCAAGCTTACTGTGTTCATTAGATAGATGGATTAGATAGATCCATACTCCTACCACAACTACTACTAACGAATCTAAAACAACTAAGTTTCTCTAATATTTTGTGATTTGCATTTGATTTCGTCCAGCCAGATCCTGCCGGACAATACATGACGGGACTACCACACTGATGCATCGTCCTAAAAAGCCCCGGCTGCTATAGGCAAGATGCCGACAACGGGGAGGAATTGATGATATACCGTGTATATATGTATATTTATGTTCATTTTGTACATTTCTAAAAATAAAGTTTAATGGAAATACTTAGTAGGCCTATCCTTTCTTCCCTGAATTATTTGCTCCTATAACATATCATTCATATATAGCAAACCATGATTTGATTTCTCATCAAACACAGGGTTCCTGCAGGTTTCGCCAACTCAAATTTAAGACTTTTTAAGACCTTTTTAAGACCACTTCGAATAGAATTTAAGACCTATTTCACGGCAAGAAAGTATGAAGGAAAATTGCTATGAAAGAAGAAATACGTCCCATAATTACTTACAAATCAAATGTATTCATGTTCAACATAAGAACAATGACTGAACATAACAGCATAACAGTACAGAACTGTGTTAGCCAAAAAGTGTGTATGTGTCTCTGTGTGTGCTTGTGTGTGTGTTAGGGCTGTGCAATTAATCGTATTTTAAGTTCAATAAATGGATGTTTTCAAAGTCAATGAATAATGTTATTTAATAATCGTGATATCAATTATTGACCAAAATAATCGTGATTATGATTTTTGCCATAATCGAGCAGTGTGTGTGTGTGTGTGTGT